AGAGGCTCAGGATATCTCAGCAGATGGGGAACTAATAGTAAGTTGACCTGCTTTTGGTTAGACAAATCACCAAATTAGAACTATTTCTTATTTTCTTGGACTCCCACATACAAACAGCAGCTCAATAAATGCTTTCTGAATGAAAGAGTGAATTAAGTAATTAGAAGAAAATAAAATATAATCAATAGTCACAAGTTGATCTCGTGGCTTGGGATTAAGGTAGAGGAAATACACACAACTGTGCTCTGTAGAGGGACAAATGCAGGGAAAGTATGTCATTAAGGTGTCCCAGGTGCCAATCACATCAGAGTTGCCTGCATTACCAACAGCTAAGCTCAGATGTCAGGTCTAGTCCCAAGCACTGAGCCTTTCTTAGGTCCCCTGACACCTTTCTGAAAGAAAAGACTAGAGAAAAATAGAAAAAAATGGGCTGGAGAGACGGCTCTGCAGTAAAGACCACCAGCCGCTCTCCCAGAGAACCTGGGCTCAATTCCCAGCACCCACATGGCAGCTCACAATGATCTGCAACTCCAGTTCCAGGGAGGACTGGCGCCCTCTTCTGATCTCTGAGGCATACACACAGGCAAACACCCACACGAGTGTGAGTTCATTAAGAAAGAAAGAGGAGTGTGAGCTGGTTTTTCAGCATTCATCCACTTGCTACTACACACATCTCCGTTTTCGCTGCCTAGGAAAGCACTACAAGAACCTCAGGATTTTTTTTTTAACCATAGAAGTGCTAAAGACATCTTTTCAACTGCTTTAAGGTGGGTAAATGAAGTCAGCAGGTGCGTATGCTTGAACTAAATATCATGGGGTCCCTATCCGAACACAATCTGAAGACCTCGATTGAGGGGCCAGGCATGGCAGCAGATGACTGTAATTGAATCACTCGGGAAACAGAACAGGAGGACTGCTCCAACAAGGCCAGTCTAGTCTACATAGCAAGTTTCATGCCTGCCGGGATTGTATAGTGAGAAACACACACACACACATGAGCAAAGCAAAATGATCCAAGATGATTAGAGGAATTCACAATAAATGTGTAATCATTATCCAGCTACAGAAGCCTACTTCACGAAGTTGTCTCAGGGGTCCTCAAAGTGCCCACACATACACTGTTGTATTAATGGCTAAATTTTATTATACAGAAAAACTGGAAGCAAGGAGAAAAGACACGGGTCTTATGCACAGACTTCCTTATAAATCTCTATTCTGTGAGGCTAAACACATTTGTTCCTTGCTACTACAGAAAAAAAAAACAAAAACAAAAACAAAACCCAGTACCTGGTACACCCAGAAGCTACTATAATTAGCTTAAGTTCAGTCAAAAAAAAAAAAAAAAAAAAAAGGTGCCAGGCTCATCTCATTAACCAATATATGCAGAGAATGGCAAGTGCTGTGCCCAGTACTGTAATTGATGTCTACCACCTAGTGCCTCCTTCAGGTTACTTCATGGCATCTATCCCAAGACTCAGAATTATGTGGAATACTATTCTTCTAGATACATAGCTTGATAAAGACCAAGTCCTCAATGTACAGCACAGTACATCGCAAAATATGACTGATGCTGTCTTCCCAGATGTTCCTAGACCATCACTGAGTGCTCCAAGGATGAGTTCCCTCGCGGGTTCCAGGGATCATACCTGTGCCTTACTAACAAAGTGTCTTACCAACACATCAACACAGACAATGGGTCTGCATCCTACAGCTGCTGCTGTGGATGCTACTTTGCTGTCCACACCATTCAGGAATCTACAACCCTTAACAACATCCCTCTTCCCCTCCCCTCCTCTCACAGCTCCGAAAAGAAAGGTATCTTTGGTAGTCAGCAAGTCTTGAACACCCCAACACAGATGAAGCAGAAGAAAACGACCAAAAAAAATCACTTTAGGAATGTTTGAGGCCCTAAAGAGGAAATGAAAAATTCCCTCAAAGAAGTGGAGGAAAAGACAAAAAAAATAGTAGAAATTAACAAATCCCTTAAAGAAAATCAAGAAAAGTAATCAAACAGGAGAACGAAATGATTCAAGACTTGAAAATCAAAATAGAGACAATAAAGAAAACACAAACTGAGGGAGTTCTGGAAATGAAAAATATAAGTAATTGATCAGGAAACACAAATGCAAGCATAAATATCAGAATACAAGAGATGGAAGAATTTCAGACAACAAAGATACAATAAAGGAAATAGATTCATCGGTCAAAGAAAATGTTAAATCTAACAAATGCTTAACACAAAATATCCAGGAAATATGGGACACAATGAAAAGACCAAACCTAAGAATAATAGGGAAAGAAGAAGAAGAAATCCAACTCAAAGGCACAGAAAATATATTCAACAAAATTATAGAAGAAAACTTCCCCCAACCTAAAGAAGAATATGCCTATGAAGGTACAAGAAGCTTACAGAACACCAAACAGACTATACCAAGAAAAAAGTCCCGTTGTCACATAATAATCAAAACACTGAACATACAGAATAAAGAAAGAATATTATGAGCTACAAAGAAAAAAGGCCAAGTACCATATAAAGGTAAACCTATTAGAATTATACCTACTTCTCAATGGAAACAATGAAAGCCAGAAGGTCCTAGTCAAGAGTTATGCAGACACCAAAAGACCATGGATGCAAACCCAGATTACTATATACCCAGCAAAACTTTCAATTACCAGAGATGGAGAACATAAGATATTCCATGAAAGAACCAGATTTAAATAATACTTAGCCACAAATCCAGCCCTACAGAAAGTACTAGAAGGAAAACTCCAACCCAAGCTACACCCACAAAAATACAGACAATAGGTGATCTCATAGCAGTAAACACCAAAGAAGGGAAAAATACACACAGTATCATCACCAACAACAAAAACTAAAATGACAGGAATTAGCAATCACTGGTCACTAATATCTGTTAATATAATGGACTCAACTCACCCATAAAAACACACAGGCTGTTGGGTGGTGGTGGCACACACACTTTAATCCCAGGCAGAAACAGGCAGATCTTGTAGAGTTCAAGGCCAGCCTGGTCTACAAGAGCTAGTTCCAGGACAGGCTCCAAAGTTACAGAGAAACCTGGTCTTGAATCCCCTCTGCCAAGAAAAGACACAGGCTAACAGATTGGATACAAAAACAGAATCTATCCTTCTGCTGCATACAAGAATCACACCTCAACCTCAAAGACAAACATTACCTCAGAGTAAAGGGTTGGAGAAAAATTTTTCCAATCAAATGAACCTAAGGAACAAACTGGGGTAGCTATCCTAATATCTAACAAAATAGACGTCAAACTAAGATCAATAAAAAGAGACAAAGAAGGACATTTCATATCCATCACAGGAAAAAATCCATCAAGTAGAAATATCAATACTGAATGTCTATGACCCAATACAAGGGCACTCTCATATGTAAAAGGGGCACTACTAAACCACACATTAAGCCCCACACACTAATAGTGGGAGACTTCAACACCCCACTCTCACCACTGGACAGGTCTGCCAGACAGAACCTTAACAGAGAAATAAGAGAACTAACAGATGTTATGACTCAAATGAACTTAACAGACATCTATAGAACATTCCATCCAAACATAAAGGACATACCTTCTTTTCAGCACCCCATGGAACCTTCTTAAAAACTGACCACATACTCGGTAACAAAAATTTTATTAATGTTTCCATGTTGGTATCTGGCCTCACCAAAAAAGCAGAAGCAAGTGTTGGATGAACTATTATTTCCTCATACTTAAGTCATCCACCCTACTCTTGCTGCTCTAAGTCAACGTGAAGATCAGTAAATCTGAACTATTTCAGTCTTGAGTCTCTACAGTCTGTCTGCTCTCTGGCTGATGAATCAGGGGCTGTACTGCAAGCCCACAGAGCTACAGAGGCTGCCCAGGAGACATCAACAGCACTACTGTTTATGGTAACAGGTGTTCCAGCTGTTTAAAATTGATAAGAAACCAGGAAAAGACACTCAGGTTTCACTGAAGCTGAAGAGATTACTCAGTGGTTAGAGCACTGGCTGCTCTTCCAGAGGACCCAGGTTCAAATTCCAGCACTCACGTGGCAGCTCACAACCATCTGTAACTGCATTTCCAGGGCCTTTTCTGGGCCCCACAGGCACCAGGCATGAGTGTGGTACACAGACATACATGCAGGGAAAATAGCCACACTTACACCTACTTTTTTATAAAGTTAAAAAGTATATACCTAGACACAGAAAAATTTAAATGCTATGAAAAAACACTCATTTTTTTTCAAATAGGAGGCAACATTGAGCCTTTTATGCCCAGGAAACACCAGTTTTACAAAACAATCTGAGTACTAGTTTATTTGATTTAAAACAAACCAAACCAAAACCAGACCAAAACAACAACAAAACCAGGAAAATTTAAAAGCAAATTAATGTTTATAGACTTTGAGTAAAATAATTTGCATTGAAGTGCAAAAAATTAAAACATTATTTTTAATTTTATAATTTTTTTTAACAGTTCTTACTTAGTTTTTATTCATAATCATAAACTTAACTCTG